TCTGGCCAGAGACTGCTGCGCTGTAGGTAGGTCATGATGGACAACAATGCTGGCACCAGGGTGACCTGAGACTGCCAGATGACAGAGGCACAGTATGACAAGTGTCCTAGAATCAGTCTGGGGGCAGGGACACGGGCAGGAAGCCTTACGTCTTGCCCGCTGTGCAAATTTGATTCCTTTAACCTGACTCTCTACAGCAGATTGTTTTTCTGACATTAAAGAGAGGTGAGCAGCCAAGGTTAATCAGCATCTCCAAACCTCCCTTCTCGTGCTAGAGAAAGAACCCCCAGATACGGCAGGTGATAGAAGGAATGCGCCTGGCAGCTATGTGCCAGCAGGCACCTATTCGGGAAGAACACAGGCCAGGGCAGGGGGCTGCGAGCTGGAGATGTGGGGAGAAGGTGAATGGATTTTCAAAAGCAAAAATGTTTTATCTGAGGCTCCGTGACTTACAACGGTCTCAGTGAAAGGGTCTCTTGCATGAAACAGTGCAGCACCTCATGGTCCACCAGGGTGTTGCTTCTTTCCCTCACTGTCATGGTGTCCTTCTCTCTCTTGGGAGAGTAGATGTTACGTGTGGGATGGGTGCATATCTTTGGGGGCCAGCATCGTTGGGGGCCAGTAGGTAGTCTGCACAGCACAGAGAACAAGAGCCATTCAGAGATATCAAGTCTGGACTCTTGGGATTTGGTTTGTGTGACCTTATTTTGAAAAAGGATTTTTTTTTTTTTTGGGAGATGGAATTATATCACAGTTCCTGAACTGAGAGTCTCTGGTTAATGCCAAAAGGGCTCTATACACACAAGCATATGTCATTTTTTTTTAAGTTTTAATACTGTACTGTGAGGTACAGTTACAGACTTACAAACGTTTCAGTCATACAATGATCGAGTACCCATCCCTCCACCAGTGCCCATTCTCCACCACCAATGGTCCCAGGATCCCTCCCACCACCCCCAGCCCACCCCCCCCCCCCCACCCCGCTTCTGTGGCAGGGCATTCCCTTTTGCTCTCTCTCTCTCTCTCTCCTTTTGGGTGTTGTGGTTTGCAACAGAGGTATTAAGTGGCTATCATGTTCAGTCTATAATTCTATAGATGCACACACTTATCTTCATAGGGGAAAGGTGAAGAAGAAAGGAACTGTGAGAGGCACACAGAGGAGGAAAGGAGAAGGCAACAGAACACAGAGGGAGACGCTGGAGTGACACAGCCACAGGCCAAGGAACAGGTGATGCCAGCAAGTATTTCTCAGAAGCTGAGAGAAGCAAGGGGATTCTTTGCAGACACTCTGAATAGACAAAAGTCCCGTCAAAATATAGACCTGCAGCCTGGCTTTATAATATGATGTAAAAAAACAAGGACGTTTCTGTGACATACCACTGAGCCATTCTACACAAGCTAGGCTACGTATATGATAATAATAGCTCACATCTACATCGTCCTTCCTATGTTCTGGGTCTTGTGCTTGGCATGATTTCCTTAGATAATTTTCACAGGAAAATTGTCTGATACAGGTATTATTAATGAGCCTCAAAACTGAGTTACATGATAATTCAAAGACAGTTGCCAAATGCTGTGGGTTTACCAAGTGGTAGAGATGAATTCGAAAGTCGGCACTAAAACCCAGGGTTCACCCTGCAGCACTAATCTACCACTAATCTACTTATGTACCAAGGCAGAAACTGCCCACATCCTTGCAGGAATTCGTAATGTGCTGGGAAAGAGAGTGACGCAAACAGAACCATGGTGAGAAGCCCTGGGCCAGAGGAGAACGAAAACATAGGGGCAGGTTGAGGGCATACTTTGAGCAAAGGCTCAGATCTTAGAAGACAGAATGGGAATTACTGAACCCCAGCGTCCCCCTCCCCCCTCCCATGACTGGTGTTCCCCAGCCCTCCAGTCCCAGGTTCTGTCCAGTCCTGCTCTTGGACAGTCCAAAGCACCTCACCTCATGGGTTGGGGAGAGGTGGGAAGTTTAGAGGAACACAACCGCACTGGAAAGGTGGTTTTTGGTTCACAGAGGAAGATGCAGGCATTAGACAAATGCGGACTGGGCATTTGATCTGTCCTATACTGCCTGGCCCTTCCCTTTGGCTTTTGGAACATAAAATCAGCAAGAAACAGGCAGGGCAAAATAGCACTCATACAACATAAAGCATGAGCACTGGGCCAGAGCCACTTCAACTGACCCAGTGAAAATATCCGGGTCTACAGGGGCCTGGGAGCAGATCTCAGAGTTGCACGCGCGTCAATTCTGAAAGAATAGGCCTGATAATACCAGATCTACCAGGCGGGACCGTTTGGGAGTGACCACAAATCTGACAGGAAGAATGTCTGTGATTAGAGTTTGAATTTTGTTCTTTAAAGATGGTTGTAGATGGGACTCCAGTTGGTAAGACATCAGCAGAATGCCTGGTATCCACATCTCCCCAAAGATTCAATGCTCCTACTTGCTATCAGGAGGGCGAAAACTTGAATTTTATAAAGCGAGGACTTTACTTCTTGGCATAAAATGTCCCCTGTTTAAACAAAAACCAAAACCACCACCAACGAAACATCCCAAATACCAGCTGTTGATCCTACTGCTGAGGTGAAAAAAATAGAAAAACATGATGATTTTGTTTGTTTCTCGGTGACATATGGACTCAGGGTTTACTTGTGGCTCTGTGCTCAGGGATCCTGGCAGGGGTCTTGGAGGAATATATATATAGCCCTAGGGATCAAACCTGGGTTAGTTGCGCACAAGGCAAGCACTTACCCACAGTACTATCAGCCCTTCTGATAATCCGTAGGTCAGAAAACAGATACAATTGTAGAAGGAATCAGTATAATAAATGCAGAGCACAGAGTAAAAAAATGCATGAAATGGAATTACCAATAAGCAGCATTAGGGAATTATGAAAAGGTTTAATTTTGTAATTTGAAAATCTGCACTGGACACTAGTGTCCTTCATGGAATGATTTTGGGGGAAATCCTGGATGAAATCTGAAGGCCCTAGAATGCAACCTCAGAATGTGAAGACATACCTAAGATGGTAAGCATGACATGGGGGTGTTCTGTTTTGAAGCCCTTCCCTTGTCATACCCGGGAACTAGTTTAATAGGTAACACCCTGCAAAGGTCTCCTCTGAAAATGTCTCCTGTACATTCTGATGCTCTGATTTGTATTTATTTATTTAATCAGTTTTCTAGTACTTACGATGTCAAGGAAATAGTAAAGAACACTTACTTTAATCATCTACCCATCTCCTTCACAAGACCATGAACAACTTGAACATATGGGTCAAGAAGCCCAAAAACACTTGGGTTAGATGATAAACAGGCTGCCAATCTGCAAATGGGTAGAATTAATTTCCCCCAAAACTTCAGAATTTCAGAGCACCCGGCACAGAGTTCCTCCTCCTCCTCTTCTTCTTCTTCTTCTTTTTTTTTTTTTTAAAGGTGCCTTTAAGAGCATCTGGCAAAGCTGCCTACTCCTTGCTATTAAAAAACTCAAGGGTCAAAAAAAAAGTCACAATGAAACTCATTGACACGTGAAGAGCTATGTGCTTATTCAGCAAAGAGTTTCATTCTCTGAGGGCCTGTGTGGGCCAGGCCTCTGCTGGGTGCTGGAGAGACACTGGGTTCTTGACAGACTCTCTGGCCAGCCAGTGGAAGCATTCTAGTGAACTCAACATGCAAACAAGAAGGAAAATTTGTTCCTTGTGGATAAAAAAAATTTGCTCTTTGCAGTTAATGTTAGAAATGGCTAAACTATTCTTTGGCTCTGGGCAGGTTTAATTATTCTCTGGCAGTTATGAAGTTCTAGACCCAGTGAATACTAGGAATAACCAACCATATAAACAAAAAACCCAAACAAACCCAAAACCAAAAAAACAAGAGAGACGCAGTTTCTGCTCTCATGGAGCTTACAGGCTTACAACATAGAGGACGAGGTGCTCTGAAAGGACCATGGGTGCTTGTGTGTGTGTGTGTGTGTGTGTGTGTGTGTGTGCATGCACGTGTGAGTGCGTGCGTGTGTGTATGTGTGTGTGCATTTGTGTGTGTGCGCGTGTGCGTGTGCGCGCGCGCGTGTGCAAGCGCACTTGAGGAGCTGGTGGGGTGGGGGCAGCAGGAGACAGTGCCCTTAGAGGAGGGTGGGTGAGGCAGCCAGTCAGGTCACTCAAGCTGAGGAGAAAGAAAAGAGGAAGTCAGCTGTTCACAGGCCCAGAGGGAGCTGCAGGAGGTGGGGGTCAGGGAAGAGAGTCCAGTGCTCTGGAAGAGAAAGGTGTGAGGGGTGTGGAGCAGCAGCGGAAGGGATGAGAGCTATGAGCTGGCTGACGCCCTCCAAGTCCTGTGCTGAAGGGTACGCGAGTATACATTTTTCCCCAAGCACAAGGTGATAAGCAACTGTGACCTGATTTATTGTTTAACAAAACCCATTCTGGCTCTTGAGAAGAGGATGAATTACTTTGTTTTCTGAGTCTTTGCTTCTTCCCCTGTAAGAACTCTCAAAATTGCTATGGGGACTCAACGAAGAATCTGTGGGAGGCTTAGCAGTGTCTGGTGCATAGGGAATGCTCAACACCTGAGGATGTTTTTTTCCCCTCCAACAGTGTTTTCGCTCATTTGGTTCATTTTCGGGCCCACCTGGTGATGCTCAGGGCTTACTACTGACTCTCTGTGCCCAGGAACCACTCTGGGGCAGTGCTTGGGTGACTTGATGTGGTGCTGGGGATCAGCCCAGGGTCATCAGTGTCTAAGATAAGTGCCTTAACCCCTGGACTAGCTCTCCGACCCCTAATTACATAACTCAATTGTTTTAAAATAATCTTAAACCTTTTCCAAAAATGCTTCTTGGCTTTAAGAGGCAGTAAAATCAAACTTGTATGTAACCAAGCACTTATTCAGCCTATGTGCTGTCTGGTCCCTCTGGTGCAGATGCCAAGTGTCTGCTGCCCACGGAGCTCCATGCACTGGCTGGCCTCGGGCAGCACTGGCCCTGACTTCGGATGACTTACCCCAAGGAACTGCGCCTTTGTTTTGGGGCCCATGAGGTAGTGGGCTGGGAGGGTCGGACAGGGTTCTCTTGTGTCCTGGTGGTGGGGGAGGAGGCCTCTTCTTGGACAGGGTGGAGCTGCCACTAGAGGTCTGGGTGCTTAGAGGGAGTGTTGAAGGTGGGCCAGTTGGACCTAGAAAGGAATCGAACGGGGGCAGGAAGGTTAATCCCAGTCTCACTGACACAAGCGCCAGTAAGCAATTACTTCCACACATCAACATGTGGTATGATACACAGAGACAAGAGCAAAATGCTGGATACGGTCAATCCCAATAATTCATTAACTCATCAACAGGGTCGTTAAAAACTGCTGGCCAAGTGAAACTGCAACAAAGGAGAGAAGAGCATGAGTTTTATAGCCAACATGGACTGCAAACGGGCTCAGGTCATCATTTCAGTATAATGAGGAAAAAAAAAAGACACCTTTTGAAATGAATAAATCACAGTGGGGATTGCAATACATACTGCAGAACAGAGCACACAGTGTTTGGCAAAATCGGTGGAGACAGAGCAGAGGCCTAACCATGAAAACGCCATAAACCAGAACACTGAAGTAGTCAAAAGACACCATTTTCCCCTCTGATACAAGTTTTTGTCAACTTTGGATGAAGGTTTTTTTTTTTTTTCAAACGACTTTCATCAATAATGTGGGATGGGCTAGAGCGATAGTATAGTGGGTAAGGCACTTGCCTTGCATACAGGCAACTTGAATTCAATCTCTAGTACCACATATAGTGCTCGGAGCACTACCAGGAGTGATCCCTAAGCACTGAGCCAAGAGTAAGCCCTGAGCATAGTCAGGGTGTGTCGCCCAAACAAAAACAAACTAAAAAATGATAATATAAAGAAAGATATTGGAAAAAAGAAATATTGTAATATAAAGAAAAATTGTAATATAAAGAAAGATATTGGAAAAAAAGAGAGATGCAAAACTCTTTGTCTCTCCAATTCTGAATGATTCGAGAAATCATATACCACCTATTTTATTAGAATTTGAATAAGTTATATTAGACACTGATTTTCATGGATTCAAAAAAGGACTACAGGATAGCAGTAATGATATTAAAATCACACACACAAATCATTACTGCAGAAATTGAGATTTTTAAACTAATGTTTTAAGAAAAACAATGAGTCTGTCTTAAAGAGTTATTATGGGAGTGATATATATGGCATTAGTTCTATCTATTCAAAGTGACAATGGGGAGTTTGTATATTGGGCACTTTGACAAAAATATATCTTATGAAACTACTACCTGGTAGCAGTAAAAGTAAAAAGAAAAATAGAGAAAAAGAAAGATGAAAAAGACAAAGAATAGCACACTGCCATGCCAAATGTTTAACACAAGAGTATACCTGAAGATCCAGAAAGGCTCCAAAAGAGCTTTTTACATTCTGTGTAGTAAAAGAAAAGCTTAATTATTGCTGGTCTTATTTCTTGGTCGAAGGAACTTTGATATTTCCCATTATCAATTACTGGTCGGTATTACGACTGATCTAAATTATTATTCTCAAAGGCATCAGATCTTAGAAGTCCCTACTATTAAAATTAATCTCAGTGAAAAATCAGTTTTAGGATAAAAAGACCCTAACTACAAAATTCATTCTATTTTACTATGTGATAGATTATTTACTGCTTCCTATTGTCCCAAATTAATGCCTAAGTATGGTAACAATCACTGAAGTTTCAGAGACGATTTAAATTTTTTAACAATGCCTCTTAATAGTCTTACATTTGTATAATGCACTTTATTTTCAAAATGTGTTCAGATATGCTACACTCCTTGATTTTTATAATCATCTATGAAAAGTGTGTCTGGTATCATTATCTTCATTCTACAGTCAAGAAAATGGGGTCCTGTAACATGACACTCACCATAACCATGATGCTGAACCCCTGCACCAGGCACCCTGGAGGTGGGGTGAGGGAGACCTCTCCCCGCCCCAAGGGACCCAGCCCCGGCAGCCGAAAATCTCCTGAACTCAACCACTGCCATACTCACGGCCGCTCTCCACATGCTCAGGCCGACGAGTGAACCTATTTCTGGACACTTCACACCACACACCCTACCCATACTCCTAGAGTACTGCACCACATTTGATGGGGTTCAAAGTAGGAGGCAACCAATCTTAGAGGGAAATACATATATTTTTTACTTTATATAATAGCACACAAGGCTCAACCTTTAACAGCATGTTAGTGAGGTCTTATTGAAGGGCTTAATGGCCCCTCGGTGAAATACAACAATCTTCACACTTTTTCCATTAAGGAAACTTTTTTTGGTAGTATTTTCAGCGGTTTTCCATAACAAGCAAGCAATAGAAAATATATTATTTCAGTTCTGCTTTGGGGCAGGGGTTGGGGTTTGGGATGGAAACATCTGAAATATAAAAAAGATACAGAAAGGTTTTAGGTAACTTCTTAGGCAAAGTTTAAAGAAGAATTTGTTAATTGGCATAGAAAATAACTTCCCAGTATTTGATTACAATGTGGTAGGTAGCATTTTTATTTTTCCTAATATCTTGCACAGCACTTTATGCTACTGAAATCTAAACTAATTAGGAATGGTTTTCAAGGTTGTTAGATTTTTCTTAAGGCAAATATGTAATTACCAGAATTTTACGATTTGATACACACTGAAATATTTTTATTTTAATAAAGCAGACTTTGGCAAGGAAAAAAAAAGAAAATGGGGTCCTGAGTTCTGGTGTGACTGAAATGACAAACTTGAAGTGTGGAGCTGGGACCACAAAGCCGAAGTCTCAGAGGCACATGCGGCGCTCACCTTGTCATACAAAATGTTGTTGCTATTTCTGAAAGCCAGAGTTGAGTGGCCCACATGCTAGGCACACGCGTGAAAGTACACCCAATGTTCAGTATTAGGAAGGGCAATTTCTACCCTTGAAAGGAAAATAGGTATCAGACAAATGATGAGACTCTAGCAGATTCATCTTTACTGCCATCTAGGGACTCTCTGAAGTTGTGCACCCAAAAGGTCATACAATTCGTTCCAAGCGCCATCTCCAAACAAATGCTGTCAAAGAAACACACGGAGCCATGGCTCTGAACAAAGCTGTATATGTACTGTGTGATTTTAGGAGCGATCATACCAAACAGTGATCCTGGAATCACAAACCCAGCAAAACCGAAACCTCAATATGCAAGCATTAGTGTTCCAAAAACATCGCATATTTTAGACTTAATTTCTTTACTTTTTCTATTCCAACCTATATTATTTATTGTCGTTTTCCCCAGACTGCAGGTCTTTCCTGGTTTTGTTCTGTTTTTGGGTCACACCCGGTGATGCTCAGGAGTTATTCCTGGCTCTGTGCTCAGGAATATACTTTTTTTTTTTTTTTTGCTTTTTGGGTCACACCCAGCAATGCTCAGGGGTTACTCCTGGCGGTGCTTGGGGGACCATATGGGATACCGGGAATTGAACCTGGGTTGGCCATGTGCAAGGCAATTGCCCTATCCACTGAACTATCGCTCCGGCCCTCAGAAATATAGTTCTGACAGTACTCAGGGGACCATATGAGGTGCTGAGGATCAAACCTGGGTCTGCTGTGTACAAGTACCCTACTCAATGTGCTATTGCTTCAGACCCAGACTGCAGGTTCTATTTGGGCACGGTGCAGAGTAACAATGCATGCACAAACTGCTACCTGCATTTTTTTTTGCTCCCCCATTCAAGTAACATTGCATTATAAAATATATTTCAGGTATGCATCATTTAAAAAAAGCTACTGTATATACTACATCAACTTCAGCGTTAGAAAGTTCAATTCTATTCCTTATTATACTTTTGCCCAATTTTATTCTTTCATCTTGTTTTTTTAGTAGCGGCAATCTAATCTTCAAAGTCTAAAACATTGAACTTGGGGAGGAGGTGTTTTATCATTTTATTTATCCCATTGTTTGCTTTCTTTATATACCACCTGAATAAAATCATACAGCATTCATTTTTTTCTAGATGAGTGATTTTGGGCTGGGGATGCTGTTCAGCAGTGAAGCACATGCCTTGCATGTCTGAGACCCTGAGCTTGAATCAACAGCATCATTTAAAAACAACAACAAAAGACTAGTGATTCTAAAGAAGACAGTAGGTCTCATTTAATGCGTGACCCTGGGAGCAGAAGACACTATGTTAATTTTGGAAAGGAATATTCGATACTGAAATGCAATTTCATTCTTCAGAAAACACACACACAGACCTACCTACCTACCTACTATTTTGTACTAGAAGCTAAGGAAAGAGGCTACCAAATCTTGGATGGTAGGGCAGGAGTTAGCTAAAAAGCATTAAGGCCAGAGAGATAGAGAGAGAGGCCTTGCATGTGGCTGTGGCCAAGATCCTGGTTCAAATCTATGGCATCAAATTCAAATCCCAAGTACTTCCAGAGGTTGGTCCCTGAGCCCAGAGCCAGGAGCGGTTCCTGAATAGAGCTAGGCACGACTTCCTTCCATCCCCCCCCCCCCCCCCGCACAAACCATCATATCAGACCACAGAAAGAGCAAATCTAATTATTTCATTTTCAAAACTTGAAACCCCAAGAAAACTTCTAAGACGAGTAGCTAGTCTTGAAAGAACAAAAGACTGTTACATGCAAAATTAATCTAAGTACTGACATAGGAAAGAAATAATTTTCACAGGACAGAGATAGCTAAAAAAAAAAAACCAACTTGAAAATAAGAATAAACGCAGCATCCAGGATCAACTCTTAAGGCAGTGGGGGAGGGGGGGGGAAGTGAGGAGATATGGATAAGTTTCTCATTTTAACTATGTCTCTGCCTATGGGAGGAAAAAGAAACTGCTCTTGTGCCCCAAGTATTACTGACTGCTATGCCAGGCTATCTTCTATTTCTTTTCCTTCAAGATATGGGACAGATCTTCCAAAGCTGCTCTATGTAACACGGAGGTTAAGTTCAGTTATTAGAAGGTCTTGGAAGATCAGACTATACCTGTCTTCCTGTAACCTAGGATGCCTGGCTTGTAGTCTTGCATCTCCAATAGCCTTCTTGTTATCCCACTGGACATTCTGATATGCCTTCAATTCTAGTAGTTCCCACGAAATCCTCCTGAGCCATGCTATTATAAGTACCTCAATATCACTGGCTCAGGGAAGTCTTGTCACAAGCATGTCCTGAAGTCAGAAAGTGCATGCATGTCTCATGACTATATGGCAGAAGCCCTGGTGACCGTGCTGGGCAGTGGCAAGCTGGATCCTTGCTCTTTCCTCCTGAGTTCAATCATTTAGACTCAAAGGACTGCAGCTCTCTCCTGAGGACCCATAGGAACTGTTTTCTTTGATCTATAAAGCCTCTTTATAGGGAATTAGCATCTACTTACACATTTGAGGCGGTCTAAATTAAACCTCGCCATATAGGGCATTATCTTCAACAAGGAATTTTTTTTTCATTTACTCCAGTAAATGAAGCTGGAGCGATAGCACAGTGGGTAGGGCGTCAGCCTTACAAGCGGCCAACATGGCCGACCCGAGTTCGATTCCTCCGCCCCTCTCGGAGAGCCCGGCAAGCTACCGAGAGTATTCGATATGCCAGACACAGTAACAACAAAGTCTCCAATGGAGACGTTACTGGGCCCGCTCGAGCAAATCGACGATCAACGGGAGGGCCTTTACCTTTACCTTTACTCCAGTAAACCATGTACTGATAATGGAATATATATATTTAAAAAAGAAAAAAGGCTTGAAATCTCAATCACCTTATAGTTAAAATCTTCTGTTTTATAAGTTCTCTACAGTTCTATTTATTGAGTATTGTATGTCAAAGCCTGGCAAGCTACCCGTGACATATTCGATATGCCAAACACAGTAACAACTGTCACAATGGAGACATTACTGGGCCCGCTCGAGCAAATCGATGAACAACGGGAGGACAGTGACAGTGACAGTATGTCTAACCTAACATTGAGAAGTATTACCTAGAACTCACCTTACAAAGTGGTATTATTATCATGACTTCTTTACAGGGTAAAAAGACCCAGCGCCCCAAGTACTGGGGACACTGCCTGGCGTTGTCTGACTGAGGTCAGGCACTCAGCCTTGTCAACACCCTGAGAACTGCACCATGCCCAGCCAGGCGAGAACATTCACGGATGTAACCGTGTCCCCTCCTCACCTCATCTGCTGAGGGTCAACTAGAAACAACTGCTTGAAGATCATCCAGATGGTCACCCCTTTGCCTATAGAATTGTGCTTCCACTTAAGGCCTAATGGAATGAAATCTTCTCTAGGTCAGAGGGCTTCTCATCCTTCCCAGATTATAAATTTCTTCAGGACTACAGTCATACCATAATTTCTCTCAGGATCCAACGCATTCTGGGTATTCAACACAAGTACATGTGTTGGGTAACACTGGGTTGTCCTTGCAG